TATAGATGCCATCCAAGAGTGATTATTGACAAAAAATTAGACTAAGTCTAAGCTTGACTTCAACTGGAAAAGAATCAGAATAAATATTTGGTCGATTTAAACTGAACCAGAAGACTTGTCTGCCGGAATAAAATTAGGATAAACCATTGATCAATTTAAACTGAACCAGAAGAGGTCTTGAATAATCCTTAATTGGAAAATAATAAGAATAAAACTTTAAAGCAATTTAACTGAACAAGAAAAAGAGTCTATTGGAAAAGCATCAGAATAAATCTTTGGAGCGATTTAAACTGAACCAACAGAGGTCTTGAATAATCTTTAACTGGAAAAGAATCAGAATAAATCTCTGGAGCGATTTAACTGAACCAGAAAAAGAGTCTACCAGATAAGTATCAGAATAAATCTTTGGAGAGATTTAAACTGAACTAGCAGAGGTCTTGGATAAAGTGTTTGTCGTGTAGATAGTCACCATGTCCTGTTTCGAGAATTGATCTACAATTAATTTGTTCACAGATAATTGTCTTGTCTTGTTTTGGGTATTAATTTGGAACTTGTTTTTGTTGGTAATTATGAAGCTTGACTGTGACAGATAATGAAGGAATCTTGGAAAATTACTATCTCAATAGATAATGAAGGAATCTTGGATGATTACCACCTCAACAGATAATGAATGAATCTTAGAGAATTACTACTTCAACATATAATGAAGGAATCTTGGACGATTACCACCTCAACAGATAATGAAGGAATCTTGAACGATTACTACCTCAACAAATAAAGAAGGAATCTTGGATGATTACTACCTCAACAGATAATGAAGGAATCTTGGATGATTACTACCTCAACAGATAATGAAGGAATCTTGGATGATTACTACCTCAACAAATAATGAAGGAATCTTGGATGATTACTACCTCAACATAAAATGAAGGAATCTTGGATGATTACTACCTCAACAGATAATAAAGGAATCTTGGACGATTACTACCTCAACAGAAAATGAAGGAATCTTGGATGATTACTACCTCAACAAATGATGAAGGAATCTTGGATGATTACTACCTCAACAGATGATGAAGGAATTTTGGACGATTACTACCTGAAGATATAATGAAGGAATCTTTGATGATTACTACCTCAACATATAATGAAGGAATCTTAGATTATTACTACCTCGACAGATAATGAAGGAATCTTTGACGACTGTTACTCCAAAAGGTAATGAAAAAATCTTTGACGATTATTATTCCAAAAGGTAATAAAGGAATCTTTGACGACTGCTACTTCAAAAGATAATGAAGAAATCTTTGACGACTACTACTCCAAAAGGTAATAAAGAAATCTTTGACGACTGCTACTCCAAAAGGTAATGCAGGAATCTTTGACGACTGCTACTCCAAAAGGTAATGAAGGAATCCAAGCTTGATTTTGTCTTGGATAAGTTTACAGATAGTTAATGACACTTATCTCTTGATCTTTTCCTGAAAAGGTAAAGAGTTAGTTGTATGCAATGTCATGATGTATGAAATGTATGGTGTAATGATGTTTCTCAAAATAAATGAGATTGTGCTATCTGCATTTCGTATGCATACGCTGTGAATGTTGTTGAAATGTAACTTTTGTCTTAGAAGATAACTCCTTGAAAAATGTTGGGGAGCCTTAGGAAGTTAAATCTCGGACTGCTGTTGAAGAGTATGTGTATCTTCGAACATTGTTTAGATTGTTTCCGCTGGGGATTCCCGTTTTGTTGTTTAAGGAGAACTCCGTTGGGGAATATTAAATTTGTTTGAGGGAAACTCTGGAGAGTGTTGATTCCTGCTTGGGGGAAAGGAGTTCAAGAGTCTTAGTTGTCCGCTGCTCTACTGGGGAATTATCTCTTGATGGAAGAGAAAGGAAGTTAACAACTTGTTAGGGACAAAGAAGTTAACTGTTATCTGGTTGTCTCCCAGGCTTTGCAACAACTCACTAGGGATTGTAGGAAAGTCTACTGGGGAAGATGGGTTGTGGTCCCTTGACCCGTGATAGTCTGAGAGGCAAATTCAAGCTGGGGGAATATATAGTTTGTTGGGGAAATAAAACCTTTTTGAAGAGAATATTTGACAAACTACTGGGGAGGCGTTTTCTTTTGGAAGAACTCCTCGAGGATTCTTCTTGAGACCAACTTAGTTGGGAAGAAGGTTTTCCAGAGATTGAAACTCTAGCTGGGGATTTCCTGGATCCAACTTTGTGGGGATATCCATGAATTTGGCCTGGAGGGGTTTGTACTTTTATTCGTGAATATTATTTTATGGGGATAACCTTATAGAGATGACTCTATGTGGATTTGACTGGGGAACACCCTATGAAAAGGAATTTGTGGGAGATTTGTCACTGCCCATAGTAGTAGGTGTTATAGTACAACCAGAAAATGTTTGCTTGGCCGTAAGTAACCCTTTGCTAGAATTTATGTTTAATGCCCCAAGTGATTCAGATATAGACCTGTCCCTGGTTACTCAACACTTCTTGAAAGATTTCTTGGAATCTTGACTTGACTTCCACAGATGAGTTTGGAAAATGACATGCCATGCCCCTTGCTTATAGAAGATTTATCATTGGAAGTGTCTTCCCATTTGAAATGATTCTGTTTCTTGAGAGAATTTCTGCTCATTAGATGTTCGTCATGCGAATTTCTATGTTGTCAAATAAATAGCTATATGCAAACAACGGTATTCAAAATAATGCAAATTTTATGCCTGTCTTGAAGTTTTGAAAATGAAGTTTTAACAAATAAGGAGTTTTGTAAGAATGTGAATTCAACTCAGGATTTGTAGTAATCCTTACAGGAGTCGGGATACCTTTTGTAATAGTATGCTTTCGAACTAACTCATGCTTCAATTAGGACTTTTGAAGGGTTGTAGCGTGGTATGATTCACGGTTTAAGAAACAAAGGATAAGGCTCAAAGTGTATTTGTAACCGCCCGTTCTTCGTGATGTTCTCCAGTCCTAAACTCAGTTAGTTGCGCAATTGGATTCCAATTGAATTTGGAATGACATTTTAGTGATGGTTCTGAGAAGTTAAGTTTGTCGGAAGACAGTCATTTTTGCAACATTTTTCATGCTGTCTAGGATTTGTAGTGGCCTATTTTTTTGATTTATTATCCCTAATTTTTGCCTGACTGTTCTGGTGTTGAGAATACAGCCAGCGGGATGCCCCAGTTTTTCTTAAGTCTCTTTCGTAGGTTCTGACTAGTGGGCTTTTCTTTTGAGGGACAATGACTTCCTATTTGATAGGGAACCATCACCATCTTTTGATTCCAGAGGAATGTTTTTGATGTCATCCATCGTGTACGAAGTGAAAATTTACGACTGAACGCGCATTCGAAATAACTGAGAAACTATTCAGCCCCAGGTTTTGATTAAAGGTTTCAATTTATGTGAAAAAGAAAACTCCTACTTCTTAGGCTCAAAGGGGTTGACTAAGAGTTATCCTCCTTATAACTCCAGTGTTTAGGAATTGCAACAAACGCCTATACATCGTCAGCAAGGTCTGTGTAAAAGCATATTGTATGAGATTATGGCATTGTTTTCGTCATCCTCTCTCTAAAGGCTTGCAACTTTTAAAACAAGAGTTGAACATCATAAAGAGAGTAAAAAACATAGTTTAAATGAAAACGAATGGATTAATTCAAGACAAACATATGCAATGCATTAATGAAACAAACTTTGAGATTAATAGATAAGTGTTTGAACAAAAGAGATTACAATTGAAAATTCAAAAATGAAATAAACGCTCTCAATTTTATCCATGATTTGGCATGGGAGCAGTGATCACATTGGGAGCCTTAGGAGGGTCAAATTCGATCTCCTTGTTGTTGATCAAACCTTGAATCTTGTTCTTCAAAGTCCAACAGATGTCGGTGTTGTGTCCAGGACTATCAGAATGGTAGACACATATTACATTTGGATTATACTTAGGAGATAAGGTATCAGGGTTTTGAGGAGGATCCCTTAGTGTAATCAGCTCCGTTTTCAGCAAATGTTGTAACGCTTGAGACAATGACATATTAATCTTAGCGTACTGCCTTTCTTGATACTTTACTCTACGCCTATTTCCCTGTCGTTGTTGAACATGTGTAGGATTAGAGATCAGAATTACCCCCACGTGTTAGTCGTGGTTACTCTGATTACGACCTTTTTGACCGTACACAACATCAGACTCTTTCTTCTCATTGAAAGACTGAGGTTATATATATATATATATATATATATATATATATATATATATATATATATATATATATATATATATATATATATATATATATATATATATATATATATATATATATATATATATATATATATGAGAGTTGATTTTTTTAGTTAATTTTTTATTCTAGACAAAAATTTCAATTAGAGAATACTATATGACAAGTTATAAAATATCAACTTTCTTAGTGAAAAAAATGCTTAAAAGGAAAACAAATAATTCCCAATTATAATTGATTTGTTTAATAAAATATCCAATTTACAAATTTGGTACATATACATTTTAATTTAGATTTAAATTTATTTTTTGTTATTTTGAATATAAAAAATGAAAATAAACATTGAACAGTTAATAACAGTCAGAATATTCGAATAAAAAAAAGAAGAGAAATTTAGAAAATAAGACAGCAAATTGGCAACCTTAAATGAAAATAAGTAATAGTCAAAACAAACAAAAAATTAATAAAATGAGTTGTGAGATAAATTTGGTGAAGTGAATATCTGGACATATTAAACACGTGTGAGTCACGTTCCTTTCATCGGACTTAATCCTATAAAAGAAAAAACATAATTCAAAAAGCCAATAATTCTGGTCAATTACCCAATAGGTTTTGCATTCATATTTTATGTTAATATTTTTATTATAGAGTTTTCACCAGATTATTAAATTCTACCTGATTTTATTAATGTGTTTTGTCCTATAAGTTTTCAAAAAGCCGCTTTCGATTTTTCTGCATTTCTTCAATTCTACCATGGATGAGATGATTAAGCAGGATTGTTATTATGAACCACTTCCAGCTTCAAATTCAAAAGCTGATCAAAGTAATAATGAAACAAATGAAGGTCCTAGCTCTCACCATCATCTCAATAAATATGCACTTGCTGGTGCCATTTTGGCTTCCACAAATTCAATTCTCTTAGGCTATGGTAAGTTTCATTTTTTTTAGTTTAATATTTCAATTTCTCGAGAAAATTAGCTTTTAAAATAAATTAGCCCACCAAGAATTTATGAATGAAAAATGAAATGAAATACTTAAAGATTAATTTTTTATGAAAATTTTCATAAGGGTCATTTTTATTTGTGAAAAAAAAATGATTTTTGATTAAAAGACTCATAAGGGTCATTTTTATTTGTGAAAAAAATTTTGGTTTTTTATGAAAAGTTTCATAAGGGTAATTTTTATTTGTGAAAAAATTGATTTTTTTTTTTTGCAGATATTGGTGTGATGAGTGGTGCTGTGATATTTATAAGAGAAGATTTTAAGATATCATCAATTCAAGTAGAAATTCTAGTTGGATGTTTAAATGTTTGTTCATTGATTGGGTCTCTAGCATCTGGAAAAATTTCTGATATGATTGGAAGAAGATACACAATAATGATAGCAGCAGCAACATTTTTGATAGGTGCATTAGTAATGGGATTAGCACCATCATATACATTCTTAATGTTTGGTCGTGTAATTGCTGGCATTGGTGTTGGTTTTTCTCTAATGGTTTCACCAGTTTATGTTGCTGAACTTTCACCTGATCTTACAAGAGGGTTCTTAACTTCACTTCCTGAGGTTTTTATAAGTTGTGGGATTTTACTTGGTTATGTGTCAAACTATGCTCTTTCATCTCTTCCTATTGGGGTGAATTGGAGAGTCATGCTTGGTCTTGCTGCATTGCCAGCTGTTTTTGTTGCACTTGGGGTTTTGGCTATGCCTGAATCACCTAGATGGCTTATAATGCAAGGTAATTTTTATTATGATTCGTTGGAACCATTGATTCGAACTGAACCGTCAAATCAAAAAGGATTGCATTATTCGATGGAAGTACACATATCAAATTGACCAAGTTTGGTTCTTGAACTTTTTATCATAATTGAAAATTTTGAATGCGTTCCGTTTGATTTGGTTAACGACTCGGTTTTTTGGTTTTTCTTAAACACTCTTAATATTTAACTTGGTTTGATTTTTAGTTTTTTTTTAGTAGTTCTAATATTAGTTAATAATAACAAATTGATTTCACACAAAATAATAAGTTTAGTATTTTTTTTATAAATAATTTTGGTTTGAAAATAGATAATCAATGTACTAAATCTTAATATTAGTTGGATTTTAGATGAACCATTAACATTTTGTTTAGTTTGGGATGAATCGTTCTAATGATTAAGTTTGGTTGGAGTTTCTTCTCGAATCAAACCATGAACAGGCCTGCTCATAGTAATTGATAAACCGAATATCATACCGTAGTATTTATATATAAACTATAATTGATTAATCATAAATTTGGAATTATAATATAAAGGAACTACAAAAACTCACTCTGCGGCTGGAGACATAGACACAATTGACTGAACTACGTTAATAAACGTAACATTTTTCTTTGTTTTTGTTTCGTGATCTTTAATCTTTTGGACTGATGTTGTTGTTCTAACAGGTAGACATGAAGAAGCAAAACAAGTTTTGGTGAGAACATCAGAGAACAAAGGTGAAGCTGAATATAGATTTTCAGAAATTTCACAAGCTGCTTCAAATTTCAAAACTTTTTCTAGAAATAGACAAGGGGTGTGGAAGGAATTGCTAATCACACCCACACGCCCTGTTTTAAGAATCCTCATAGCTGCAATTGGTGTTAATTTTTTCATGCAAGCTTCTGGAAATGATGCTGTAATTTATTACAGTCCACAAGTTTTTAAAGAAGCTGGAGTTCAAGGTGAGAAGCAGCTTTTTGGTGTGACAATCATCATGGGAATAGCAAAAACATGTTTTGTTTTTGTTTCAGCATTGGTATTAGACAAATTTGGAAGAAGGCCCATGTTGTTGTTGGGCTCATTAGGTATGGCAGTTTCATTATTTGGGCTTGGATTGGGCTGCACCTTTCTACAAAACTCAGATGAAAAGCCCACATGGGCTATTTCACTATGTGTGATTGCTGTTTGTGCTACTGTTTCATTCTTTTCTATTGGGCTTGGGCCAACAACATGGGTCTATTCGTCGGAGATTTTTCCGATGAGGTTAAGGGCCCAAGGTACAAGTTTGGCAATTTCTGTGAACCGTTTGATTAGTGGTATAGTGTCTATGTCATTTCTTACTGTCTCTGAGGAAATTACCTTTGGGGGTATGTTTTTTGTGCTTGCTGGTGTAATGGTTGTTGCTACAATTTTCTTTTATTATTTTTTACCAGAAACTAAAGGTAAAAGCTTAGAAGAGATTGAAGCTTTGTTTGAAGATGAATTACATTGAATTTTCTAGTAGGTTTCAAGAATGATAAAATTTGTTTTCTTGTGTTTTTTTAGGCAAAAATGGTTTTATTGTTCTAGTTAAAAATGTTTTATTGCTGTTAAAGGTGGCTTGATTGGTTTTATACTTGTATCACATGGATTGCTTGGAATTTGGTGCTTCCAAGTTTCAATATATAAAGAAAACTACATTTTGTGTTTTGATGCAAGTAGAATATAAACACGATATGATAAGATATTCATTCTATTATGTGTTTGGTACACACATGATAAGAAACATTATATTATAATTTTATGTATTTCATACCCACTTAATAGTGATTGATAAATTATATACTATATCTAATTCCACTTGATAAACTATATACTCAATCATATACTATATCTAAATCCACTTGATAAACTAAATACTATATCTAAATCCAAAATTATCTTTAGAACAAAGTACCTATATTTTTTATAAAACTAATTTTAACATTTTTAAATTTAATAAATGAGTACAAAGAGAAACAAGTACAAACGAGAGAGGACATCACCAAATTCCTCCAAGAAGATAGGAAAAAGGGTAATTAGGTAGACATAACCCATTATTAACATAATCCTTCTTAATGGTAGAATGACCATCATTCCACCAACAAACCAATGTTAGCCAAACTATCTGCACAACAGATATTTTCTCGATAGACATGTGAGATGACAAAGGACACAAACTTAAAGACAAAGATGCAATTATTCCATATGTTCTTTAAATGCCAAGAAAGTTGATGGCGTTTTGAAAGGCAGGAGTTGATAATTTCGAATGCATTTCAACTCAAAGGTGGAGTTACTTCATGTGATAAGCAATTTCTATGACAATCATTATGGCGTATAGTTTAACATGGAGGGAAAATGAGATGTCAATATTTTCACCAAAGCAACCAAGGGTAATTGCATAATGATTTCGATAAATGCCTCCATAGCTGTAGGGGGTTGTCAAGGACAACATCGTTTGCATTACACTAAATCCAACCAAAGGAAGGAGAACACCAAAAAACATTAGAGATTTTATAACTCTAGGGAAGCTTTGACTGAATTTTAAAGACTTTAAAATGGTGAGTTCATTTATGGAGCTCAAATAACATTGGATTCGTTTTACAACAAACCAATGAGACTCAAACGGATTGGTCATGAATTGGCAGACTTTATCCATACTAAAAGCAATGTCAGACATTGTGATGGTGGCATACTGAAGAACTTTAACCATTGATCTATACTGATGAGGGTCTGGAAGTGTTGATGAACATGCATGTTTGCCCCAATTACAGGTACTCAACATAGTAGTAATACCATTTTTATTGCACATTTTGGCTGGAATGAGTAAGTCTCATATGTATTTCGGAAGATGCTTCCTAAGATTTTTACGGGAAAATGTAGCATGAAGGGAATAAATTAGCTTGTGGGTTAGGATAGAGGACGATCATGTAATAAGGATGTCATCAACATAGACCAAAACATACATAGTGAAGCCTTGATGGGAATATATGAGTAAAAGGTGATCACACCTTCAGTGACGAAAGGCAATTTATGGAAATGAACACTTTCCCATATTTACTAAGACACTTAAAACCTTTGTTTTGATAAGAGACTTCTAGACACACACACACGCTCTTCACTTATGAAATCTAGTTTGTGTTTGTTATAAGGTCTTGTAAAAGGAAAACAGGCACAATCAAAGACTTTCAAAGACTGGTAGTTTGGTAACTTAAGATACAAGGCATGAGATTGGGATTAGAATTTGGCCAAGCTAACAGTATGTAGTCTATTGATGATGTGCACTGAGGTCGCAAAGTTATGAACCCAAAACTTGATGGGAATGGAAGAATGAGATAACAAAGTTTATGATTTCTTTCCACTGTTCCATTTTGGTGAGAAATGTGAGGGCAAGTCGAACTATGTAATATTCCTAGTTCAAATAGATATTTAGTGAAAGGTCTAAACTATCCCCCATAATCTGATTGTAATACTTTTGTGTTATTAATTTGGTTTCGACAAAATTGAGAAATATTTTTAAGGAATGTATGGCCTCTGAATTTTGATTCAAAAAATATAACTAAATACACTTTGTGTAGGAATACACAAAATGAAATGTAGTAAGAAAATATTGAACTGAATGGATGACGTGTAGGGCCCTAAAGGTCAACATGAACAACTTTAAAGGGAAAAATGTATATAGTGGCAGATAAAGGAGCATGTATTCTATGGGATTTTCCAAAGCAACAAGATTTACAAAACAAAGTAGTCAGTTTATTTGAGAGATTGACATTATAATGTTTTAAAGCAAGTCTAATAGTAGGAAAATGAGCATGACCTATCCTATAATTCCATAAGGACCTTATGCTAGGATTATTTGCATAAGAAATTACAGAAAAAGAAATAAAATTGGCATTTTTTGTGTAAAAGAATTCCTAAGACTAAGAGAAGTTGCACTTGAAGGCTCCACTAGAAATTGTGGAAAGTAATACAAGACACTTGTGTCAAGGTAGCCTCAAGAAGTATGAGCCTAGAAACTTGAGATTTAACATAACATCTGTCAGTAATAAATTCAAACACAACTATATTGTCTTTTGAGAAATTTGAGATTGAAAGCAAGTTTCTTGTTATGCATCAAGGATCACCATACATTTTCAGTAAAAAACCAAATTTTATTCCTTAAGTAATCCATCAAGGATGTGATATGTAATGGATGTATTTCCTTTATTTATAGACTTTAACTCAACATGAAGTTGTCTAACTCATGTCTTCATGTGAGCATTAAAGTATCTCTGAATCTTTTCCCATACTTAGAAAACATGCTTGTAAGATGGCACTCGAGGTAACACAAATTCATAAATGGCGGATATAAGCAAGATGAACACAACTTGATCCTGCAAAATCCAAGCTTCATACTCTTCATACACTTTGACTTCGATGCGGTCTTGTTTGGATTTAAACTTATATGGAGTTTAAGGATTCACTATGATCTTTTCACTCTTTGAGTGAGGATGACACCTTTAACTTGTTGATTCCAAATAAGGTAATTGCTATCTTGAAGTTTGTTTGAGAACCTAGTATTAAAGTGATACAAAGAAGATGAATCAAAGGAATTGATTATGGTTATCCGAGAATTTTGAGGTAAGCTCCCAACTATTGCAATTTGAATTAACTTAGCCATTGCGATGAGTGCAAAAATGAAGAAGATGAAGATACAGTTCTGGGAACTTGTGAAAAGTTGGTTACAACCAAATGAGAGTTAGTTAAAGAGCGGAAGGTATCGAGCTAGGTGAATGATATCATATAGAACTATGTGAACTTCATTAATGAGAAATGAGTTAAGATTATAAGCCATGGTATTCTCATTCTTAGAGGAGTTTATGTATCGAGGTACCATGCATGGTGGGGTTTATGTCACCATGCAAACATCCTTCAATACACGTGCATGGTGATCAAAGATTGCAAAAGCCTAATCATGCATGTGCTAGAGTATATAACATGATCTTGAATTATTCTTCTAATACTTAACAATTTGCATACAAAGTTTAACCAATCACCTTGTAATAAAAAAATTAATAAAAAAATTATATATATTTATAAGAATTATTAAGAATCAATGTGAATCAATTAGAATCAGTATGTATCAATTGTATTAATTGTATTATCTTATTGTATACAACTCATATGAATATAAATATACCATAGCATGGTCTCATTAGACACAAAATATTATACGGAAAATACTTTTTCAATATGGTATTAGAAGTTAAGAATTTCACAAACCATTCTTTTGTGTTCTAGAAACCTTGTCACCCATAATACACAATTACATTGCAGGTCTCCGTTCTCTGCCACCATGCATCCGATTACTAATGTGCCGCTACCTCTAAGTTCGCAACCCTCCGGATAACCCATTGACACAATGCAAACCTCTGACCGACATCACATGTGCCCTCACACGCGAGCACATTCCGGACATGTGAGTCTATGCGCACTGCATCAGATCAATTTTTTTGGCGCGCTTTTTCCCTGTTTTGATATTTGTTTTGACTATTATTGTCCTCCCGACCATTAAATGACCTTGTTTTCACGTTTAACAACTATAAACTCTTATGGGAGATCAATCTGCAACCGATTTCATCACTTTTACCAAAGTTTTGCTTATTTCATGCGAGAAACTAATCGGGACAACCAACTACAACATATGGGCTGACGTTGTTGTCAAACCCCAATTTCGCTCGGGTTTGTATTATTTTCTTTTATTTTTATCATTTCTTAAAAAAATCAAAAGTGTCATTCAGCTCAATTGGTAAGTGTCTAGGGTGTCAATTACATGGTTGCGGGTTCGAATCCCACTATTTTTCTTTTTATTTTTTGGTTTTTTATTAAAAAGGTCAAACAGTCAAATGTTGACTTTTTTGAGTTTTTTAATATAATTTTTGTTTTTTAATTAAGCATTTTTTAAAATTATTATTTTTCATTTTATTTATTATTTAATCCAAAAATAGTTAAAAAAATATTAAAATCTTTCACGATACGTCGCACTGTGTCATAGTCTCGTCTAATTGGTCACATTTTGACAAAATTACTTCTGATTGGTCATGCTTCATCATATTGGCATGTGATTGGTCAAAGTCTGACAACTTGCTGACCAAGACAAATCAGATAATATCTGATATAGTTTTATTTTATTTTATTTCCTTTTTTGTCTTTTAACCTAGTTTTTTTACACTATAAATAAGACACCAATTTTACACTTTAGACATACAATTAGACCCACTCATTACCATATTCTCACCTCTCATACACATATTCTTCCATTGAAAACCCTATTCATAATTTCTCACTTACACTCTTGATACTAGGGGTGTCCAAAATAAAACCAACTCAATAGAAAACCACAAAACGAACCAAACAAATCGAAACTACAAAAAATCACATTTGGTTCAGATTTGTTTGAGTCATCTTTTAACAAAACTGCACGGTTCGTTTCAG